AAAAGGTTGTAGTACTGCCAACACAAATCTGAGATTTCTTCTTCCCTTTATAATAGCCATGATGTATGTAAACCATTTTCCCATTAGGTCTGCTGGGAATACGTGAGGATGAGCCTGCCAGGAGTGACAGGCACTACCCAGTTTATCTGCCTTCCTGTGCCCAGCAAAGCATTCATCAGCCTCTTCTGCCACCACGGTGTGATTAAAAAGGGTTCTAAGGATGGGTATTCCTTGCAAACTAACTCCAAATCAAAAGAAGGCTCTAAGCAACTTGAGGAAAAAATTGACATAATCTTTTTTGTATTCAATCAGAAACTATTTTCAGTTAAGCAAACAAACAACAAAACCCTCACTCCTCTCACAAGGAGACGTGCATGAAACTCACTTCAGCAGCTGGACCTGCATTAAGACCACTTTCTTACTCAAGACAACTATAATTTATTAACTTTATTTTAAAAAATAATTTATCACCAACTTACTCAGAACCAAGGTTGTCTGGTCAATATTTAACTATGGTACTGGTGGGGTTTTTTTTGGTACCCCAGAGTATTGCTCCTCTAGGCAATCTGTACTCTTTCAATTTCTTTAAACCTGAAGTTTTATTCTCTCAGGATAGTCTGCTTTTGCCACTGAAGACAATGGTAAAATTTCATGAAAACTGAGACCGTATGCCTTTCTATATAACTATACAGCAGCTTTATGGATCAGACTTCTTTATGAAATACTACATTTAATTGACTTTGCTGATTTGCCCCTACATTTATTTTGTATTATCTATGCAAAACAGTATGATGACAATTATTCTGGAAATATGCTATCTCTTCAGATGTCACAACTATGCAATGTATGTAAAAAATATTTCACTTGCAAAAGAAAAATCGATAAAGTAACTAGGCAGAATCAAACCATGCTTTTATTTCCATTGCATATAAAATTTCATATGAAGGTACTGATGTACATTACTATCCCCTATGCAGTAGAGAGGCTAAGAAACGAGTGAAAGAATAGTCATGTGCAATGTTCACACAAGTTGCCACTCTCAAGACATCCCCAAAGAAGAATGAAATTCTAAGAGTAACAAAAAAAAAAATAAAAATTGTTCAGGACTTCTGTTGTTGCAGTATCCATTTTATACCATTATAAACATAAGCAATCAATTTCCTTTGGGCCAGGGCTGCTAAAATCTACAGTTTGTGTCCAAAGGGAGGCTTTGTTTTTCACTGAAAAAGACTTTTTCCTTTCCCAGAGAAGTTGCATGCTACAAGGGCTGGGCATCGCTGGAACGGAGGAGAGGTGTTAACCTCACTCTGACGAAGTCATCAGCTCCAAGTACTCTGGAGCAACATGACAAGTCAAACAAACAGCAAAAGATGCTCAGTCCAACCCGCAAACTTAATTCTAGTGTTATTGAAAGATATAAAGGTTTACCACACTCCTGTAGATCTAAGTGCATTATGCTCTACACACCTGAACAAAGCCTTATATATATTTATATATAATAAAACTTCAGCTGTTTTAACACTAATATTGGTGTTGGAAAGTATTTCGAAAATTAAAGCTGTCTTTTGTTCTGCTTTATGGATTCTGTATATATGTGATAATTTGTGCTACTGAATAAAAAGGGATATTACAGATGACTGTAAAAGTGTACGAGTTATACCCTTATGCATTAAAATCAAGTGCTTATTAGAGATGCTTTCCAAAGCTGTTTCTGTGAAATTCAGTACCGAATACAGCATCAATTTTTATTTTTTTTAAGGAGCAAAAAATGGCTGCAATTATCCCCAGTGATAGGCTGTAAAAGGATAATTGGAGAAGCAATACAATCACATTGCCAGGTGTCTGGAAAACCTTGAACTTCCAGTAGGCTCTTGAATTAAAGCTCATTGTAGTATCATGCATATTAGCTTGTACAGGTAACCCCATCAGTCAGGAACTAAAAATATGGTAGAAATGCCCAGCCCTAGCCCCATGGCTACCTTACTTTCAAATGCAGCAAACAGAAGGAAAATAGTTTTTAAAGTTAAGGCACAGCCCTGGGACCAAAGACCTGCAGCTTTTTTAATCAATACATCTTTACATACTTTATACTTTTCTTGAATCTTCCATAAACAAGCTCTAAGGTGACACTGAATATATTAAGAAGAAACAAACAAAAAAAAGGGAATATGTATAACACAATCATCATTCTCTCGCCAAGAGTTTCCAAAGATAGCAACACCATCCGGAGAAGGATGATGTTATAGTAAGAACTGATAATTTACAGTTAACATTACAGTATATACATTACAATAAATACATGGTTGTAAACAGACAAACAAGACTGTATTACAGGTAAGGTCATTTGGTGAGAAAAACTCATGGCACAAATAAAATAAATAATGGGTTTAGAAAGAACTGTCAAAGCTTTCTGTAAAATCCATTTCAGTCAAGTGTTTTAAACTTCTGAATGCTATTTGTTCTATTTATATTCTTTCATTATCATTTTAATAACACAAAACAATTTAAGAATTCAAATACAGCATTATTAAGTACAGTAACTTGCAAGCTAAAGTGTACTGTTACAAGCAAGGTGAATTTTCTTCCCACACACACATTCAATAGCTACTCACTGCATTTTTTTTTATGGCAAAAATATTCAAAACACATAAAGCCACTTGTAAATTGTTTTGTTTTAAAGCAGTGTACAATGCTAAAACACACTTTGGCAAAAGAGGAAAAAGATTGTACAATGCATTATATCCCCAGTTCTAAGAAACGTTATCTTTTCTCCGATTGTCCGTATACATGGATGCATTTCTCACAATATAATGTCATTCTCTTCATTTACTTTCAATTAGTGCAGATACAAAACGTCTTCAAAAAAACCCTATTGGTATTTCAGAATTCATATTGCTTTTCCATTATTAAGGTTCCAGGCACTCTTGGGGACTGAAAGGACTTTTAAATGGATCAGGTTTAGGAAGAAATGATGGAGAAAAGTCAAAAACTGAGAAAAAAAGCATGAGTTCTCTATATTCTCTTTCCTCCTTCAGTATCTTCTGTGCTAAAGCCCTGTGAGGGCTAAAAAAACTATGATCTGGATATAGAAGAATGCAAAATACATTTAAAAACTAAATTATTAACCAATCACTTTTATTCTAGATCTCAGACACTTAACCGCCCTTCCCCCATATTCGTATCTGCTAACTTATTACAAAATGAATCCAAAGGAGAAATAATGGCTGTTGCTATCTTCTTTTGTTAAGAAATCATCTTCACATTAACATTTTACAAAAATTTTAAAGAGTAGGAGTCTGCTAGCTTCCCTAAGCTACTATTTCCCGTCTTATATGTTCAAACCTGCAAGCAGAGGAAATGACAAATATGAACTCCTACCTCTCTTTAACTTTTCAAGTTACAGAAGCTTTCAGTACCCACCAAACTGAAAAGCAGGATTCCCAGCACAAGCTGGGTAAAGGATGAAAAGGTCTGAGATTGAAATAATGTGGAGTAAACAACTCTCCTGATGCATTACTCATTATTTAAAAACATAAAAAGACAAGACTGACCTGGCTCTTCTTGCAAGACAGACATGAAAAAATAATGCTATCATTACTATTATGTTATACACAGATTAGCAAATGGTTTACTAGATTATTAACACATAAGAAGTCAAGAACGAAACAAAATTTGAAATATTACATTAATGCTTTTTTTTTGCCAGAATAAATATCCCATACATTATATTAGCCTGTTCTGATTTAGCAGTCTACAGATCCCAGCCAAAAACAGTCTGGTAATCACTTTTCAGAGGGAGAAAAATTTTACAGCAGAAGAACTGCTTTTTTATTAAGATGACAATTCATTACCTTTCTTTTCTAAGTCCTTGACTGCAGGACTAGAGCTCTAGTCCTGCAAATCCTAGTCTTAGTGGTCCAACATGGTTTTGGTGGGACCACTTGTTGTAATAAGACAGAATTGGCAGGATCAGGCCACTACAAGGGCAAAATCAAAACATAAGTTCCTGTAATACATTTGGGAAAATTGTGATGAAAAGCAAACACACAAAACAAACTATCACCCTGCAAAAGTTTTATGTAACAAAGGATATTAATGGAATTCACTAATATATAAAATACTTTTACAGCTGAATATTACCGTGAGATTCTAAGGTGCAAAAAATATAAGGAAAGGAGAAAAAGTATCATCCAGTGTAGCACAGATTTGTACTGAAAACTCGCAAGTTACTCTTTGTGAAAAAAAAAAAAAACAAAACAAACAAAAATGAAACCAAAAAAGAAACCAAAAGCAGCCCAACAAAACAAAACAAACAACAACAACAAAAAAGTGGCAGATGAAGTCTGAAAGTGTTTTTCTTTAAATATAATACCTCAGTATAATTAATAATAAAAGCTCTACAAAAGGCCTCTCTTCTACATAATATACAAAATGCAGAGGTTAGTGCAACCCACTGGGCACACTTTTTTCAATCACAATCAGGAAGATTCAAAATCACAAAATTAAAATTTTGCAATTTTCATAGCTCATCTTCCTGTTGGTAACAGAATCATGTTGTGTCTCGTTATTTATGACATTTGTTTTCCAGTAGGAACCTCAGTTTATTTTTGTCTGTTTCCTTTCATGACAAACATCCAATGCTTTGCTTGAATTCAAAAATTATCAAAGCATATTAGCATTCGGTTGACAGCTGCTACTCCTCTGAAAACATTTGCTTTATTTAATCCTACCTGACAAATGGAGAGCTTATGAAGATGTAGTTTATGGATGTTCCCACTCCTGCTTTCTGATGCCATGCAGGTGAAAATTTCTTTTTCAATATTCCTGAGTGCCAAACTGAATCATCAACATCAGTTTTGATCAACAAACATCCCTGGAGATGACACTGAGTTGTGACTACGATTGTAGTCTATGTCATATGACATAGGCTACTGATGACATTCCAAAATCCATTACCCAATTAAAAAAAAAATAAAAAGAGAAAAATGAAAATAAAAAGAGAAAGAAAAGAAAAGAGAAGGGAGAGAGCAAGAGAGAAAGAGACTGCATCCTCCTTGCTACGTGTTAGGAGTATGGTCTTCTACCACACAAGGTTCTGTCTGGTTCTCCTCCTCTTCTACTTCTTCCCCTACTTGCTCATCAAGAGGAATTTCAGTGGATTCTGAATCCTGGGTGCAAAGAGTCTTGGAGTCACTGCAGCTGGTGTCTTCTTCTACTTGACTTCCACTGTCCTTTTCTGTGTCTGACTCACCATCTTCCTCCAGTGTTAGTTCAAACTGGAATTTTTCAGTTTGAGTCTGCTTACTCTCTTCCTGGTCATCAGCTGCAGGAGAAGGACTTTGAGGGATTGTGCTCTGGTACCATTCTCGATTGTCCTCCAGTGTATCTAAGATTTCCTGGGCATCTGGGTGAACAAGATCTGCCCATGTCTCCCACAGAGGATGAACAATATAGTCTATAAAACCCACCTGTTTCAAATAATACAAAATGAGGATAAGCTCTTATTCACAACCGTGCTTTTAAATCACATAAAATATGAGAAATACAGCACTAGTAAGGCACACTAGATATGCTACCCTAAGGTGGCTGAAAGGAAATCATGCTGGTTTTACGTAGTAAATAGGGTCTTTTACATTTACGTTTACATTTTACATTTACATTTCACATTCAAAAGTCTGATTCAGGATATTGGAAAAGGACTTGGAAAGCATTTGCTCTCAAATGAACTGTTCATTCCAAACAACTCCACTGCATTTACTGAGCCAAACTGTTTTGTATTTAATTCTGTTTCTGAAGGAAATCTTAATGAGTGGCTGTACAACAGTCTTTTGACATGTATACTACATTTGACTTATGACAGTGATGGAATCTCTTCAGCAAGGGCACTGTGATGCATTATATTTTCATAGTAAAAAAATCTCAGCTCCCCTTTCTTACTATTCAGGAGCTGAATTAATTTACTAGGAAGAAAAAAAGGATATAGTGCATTCAGAAATCAATCAAAACAAGGCTACAGACCATGATTTTCTGTTAAAATGTCATACTGTGTTATTTAACTACCTACTCAAACCAATTACCTGTGATTTTTCTACAGATGCATTGTGCTTATCACACATGGGACTTATCTCCATTCCCCTCTCTCTTTCCCGATCTCCTTGCCGAAAAAATTCCTCCATAATTCTGTCTGTCCATTGGCGGTAGAGATCAAGTGGCTTAGTTGGATTGCTTAGATCTGCACAGTGCACCATATTCTGAAGAACCTAAAAAAGATTGAACACTGTGGTGTTATTACACTGGAAAAAGAAACAGCTCCATTTACACTTTTGGTGCCTGTGAAACAGAATCTTGAAAATATATGTAGTGCAATATTTATTCTAAACAGCAAAAACTTGGGTATTTAGCTATTTTTCACACTTGCAGTAATAGTCACGAATGACCTCATTTCTGTTGCTTCTGCCTGTATAAGGCACAGAAAATCTTTGAGAAAACAACCAGTCAGGTGCCAATAATTTGAATAGAAGGCCAAAGCCTCATTTAGTCCAGAATTACTCTAGTACCTCATTACTCTCTCAGAGTCACACTACAGGGAGGAGTCACTGTCAAAGGGAGTACAGGGAGTCATGGTGTAAGAAAAGACAGCTGATCTAATCCATGCTGGAGAATGGGCAGGCCAATGTTAACTGAGGATGTAAACTGATATAAGTGACCATTTGCAGGTGAACTTTCTTACCTGAATTCTGTCTGAATAGTTATCAAGAAGTAGGACACCAGAACTGGTCACTTTTTTGGTTTCAACCATGGTTTTTAAATCAGCCAACAGATTCATATGCTTAGACATGTCTGTTGCAAGTACCTTGAAGGAAAAAAACAAATAAACATTACATAAATTACTGATTTTTAAAAATATCTTTAAACACTTAAACAGTTCTGGGGTGAACCCATATTTCCTGTGTCTTCATAGACTATAAAAGTGAGCCACGTATGCCACCAGTGTTGAAAACAGTAAGTTTTCATTTTGGTTATTTCAACAATACGACAATATGATTGTTCAGAATGATGTGATCAGCCTAAATTCATCATCAGATCAGCAGTAAATTTCTGTGGTGGTGAAAGAGTATACATGTCAGGACAAAATCAGCTTGAAGGAGGATAGTGTACGTTCTGAAAAGGTATAGATAGTTGTTGAAACTGAAAACAGAACACACTATTCATGTTAGGATAAGACAATATATAACTTCAAACTTTTACTCGATTGGCTATGGGTCTAATGACATGCAATTTGTCATAAAAGCTTCTGTGCTTTATTCAATTTGCTAGCACTATGCAAGAGGGACTCTCAAACAGAACTCACAATGTCAATGACCATTTTCCTCAATGATTGCCTCTGTTTTTTGCTCAAATTCTGGAAAATGTCACAATTTTCTTCCTGCAGCAGCTTGAAGCCCACAGCTAAATGATGATTCTCCAGTACCGATGAGTCATTGTACATCAAGGCGAGTTCAGAATCTGCAATAACAATTGCAGGGCAGAAAGTTACTATAGTCTGTGCTTCTCTGCAGCCCCTTAAGATTTTTCAAATTTATTACATTCATAAAGATTTACAGAAGAACTTTTAGAAACAGAGTTCTTGTAGTTCACACAGTATCAAAACTTACAGATTAGTAACTGAACATCTCAACAAATAAAGGCAAAGTACTTTGAGGAAAGTAGAGAAAACTCTTTGCAGTGAAGCATGTATACATGTCTGGAGTAGCAATAAAAAATACAAGGAAGGTATTTTTCAGAATGCATTTTTATATCTGCATGAGGTCACATGGAAAATATATGCTTAACTACACCTGAACTAAAACAGATACTGAAGTTTTCTCTTCTCATGCCTTTCTCCACCCCAACTACTAAAATTCCATTGTTTAAGACAAGTTGCAGCTATCCAGCACGCAGACCCAGAAATACACAGCTAAGGCCTTGCTGCAGGTCAGGCACAGAGCACACATCTAGGTTTTCAAACCACATTTTTCTGCAGTTAGCGAGGGCACTCAGATGCCTCACCAATTAAGCCAATGGGTCGTCAGTCCATGACAACTGGATATTTTGAGAGGAGGTTGGTAGGATGGTAACAGCTATGCTTTTTGTCTTTTTCTTGGAAGGTCATGTGGCTTGAAAATGCAAGTAGTGGCCTTGCCTACTGCCACATATTTGAGTGTGGTCAGCACAAGACGCTGTGATGCTGCCTTCTCCAATAGAGTTTTCTTAACTCAGGATGTTATGAGAATAACATACATCTTCCTAGCAACGCTTACGCTAGGCACACAGAGAAGGTCTGCATTGGTCTTCTAGACCTGCTGAAGATCTAGCTCTAACAAATAAAAGCAGCTACAACAACTTTCTGCACAGCTTTGGTTTATACCCAGGGATACCAAAATGTCAGCTTACATATGTTTTAAAACACAGCTTGCAAATGAATCTGCCATAGAAACCAAATACTTTCAATGCAATCACACTTGTCATTTGTGAAACTAATTTCTATTTATTACAGCTGTTCTATTCTAAATCTAGCCATATGTCAGTCTATTCTACTCTGTCCTCTTCTTCAACAGCTTTGTTTTAAAATCCCTCTGGCTCAATGGGGTGCCTCTAAAAGCTCTACTCTTCAGATTTCATTAGTCTCATTATCCATTCTCCTGCTGTCTTAGATCGATCTTTTGAATTAGGAAACCTTTCCTCTACCTTTCCTTATCCTGATGGCAGCAAAACCATAACAGCAAAAGGAAAAAGAAAGTGAATTTGTCAAATGATCTTTCATTTTTCACAGAACATTTACAAAGCTTGCCTACTTACAAATATGTCAGACACCAGTTTATTTTCCTCTCAAAACAGCCTTCTGATGAGCCCCAACTGCAAAACACTAGACACTGCCAAAATACTTTGGAAGAGCTGGAGCTACAGTCAAGAGCTAAAATGTGCCCAACCTTGTAATGGAGGTGAAAATCAAAGAAAATTCCCCCTTAGTAATCTCTGTAACACATTACAAGCTTTTCAAGAGTATTTGTCTGGAAGGTCAGAGTCACACTGATCATATAAGCATCACCTCTGATGCTAATATCTTTGTTTATTCTTTAATACCATTCAAGAGAGATCAGCTTTTCAGACAATTGTGTAACAGACTAAATCCTTAAATAGGGAAATAATATTCAGAAATCACATGCAAGCAATTATAAAAAATAAGCAGAAATATGACAAAATGTACATACTTTAAAGTACCTGTAAGTCTTTCATGCTTTCTAAAAACATATTCTTAATGAAACATCAATACATTGTGTGGTTCACTGGAAAACAAAACTCAGTGGAAGCAAATTATCTTCTACAAGTTAGGAAATCTAGCATTTAAGAGACCTAGGTGGTCTTTATCGGTGTCCCTACAGTTTCCTCCTTGCACACAGGACTCAAAAGGGATAAAATCCCTTTGTCTTTCAGCCTGGCAACAGCAGTTCCAGTTAGTGATGTTACCTGATTAACCGAGAAGCCTTCTCTATCAAAAGCTGAATTGAGAAAAACAAGGCATTTCTTCTAAGGCATTAAATGAGTAGCATCAGAATCATCCCTAACATAGCTGAAGTTCAACTGTCTTCATAGAAGTGAAAGCTTTATGTACCACTACTTGTTCCTTCCAATAGTCGGTCATCCTGCTTAAACTTAAAAAGCTCTGCTGTTTCCTCACAGCACCTCAGAGCCACCAATATATCCCAGTATTCAATCTGTGATTAAACAAATAAAACTTTACTCAAACATTTAGGTATTACACACTTTCATGCACAAGGCTTGATTCACTTCTCTTCCTAGACAATGCTGTTGAACTGTACTGGTTACCAAGAAATCTAAAGTCAATCCCAAGCCTTCTCCATGCAGGTGAGTCATCAAATCGAATTTCACTATAGGGTGGCCCTTAGGCCATTAAGGGAAATAAAATTAGATGCCAGCTAAACTGGAGTAAAGATCTCATTTGAACGTAGAGCAGCAATGAGTCAGAAGAGGAGCTCCCTTCAAACTATACCACTGATTCAGGTCATGTTATTTTAGGACCAGGGCAATAGATTCACCCAAGTGCTGAAATAACAGTATCTAAGAATGTGCAACCAGATGGGCCAAATACACAACCCTAGGTATGCTTCCATTTCTGTAGTTTTTTCTTCTTATGTGCTTGGATTGTTAGTATCCAACTTTTTTAATTCTGGGTCAGTTATAAAAGGAGTTGTCAGACAGCAAAAGTAACATCATATGACAGAACTTGCACTGACCTACAATGTGTTACCCACTTACACTAGTAATATACACCACTGCAACCAAATCAGGTTGCACTGGGGCAAGAAGCCCTTCAGTGTGCCATGGCCAGGTTCAATGAAGCTATAAGTGTTTTCTTCTAATAGAAGACTAAAGAGGTAGGGAGGTTCCTGTAATGCTGCAGAGAACAGCCTTGAGGAATGCAGAACAAGTACACTGGTTTTCAACTTCAGAGATGACATTAGGGTCTCATTTCATTAGGGCTTTTTCCCTGCACATACAGAGTGCCAGCAAGAGACTCACAAAAGAATAAAAATTAAAAAATAAGTTTGCAGGGACAGGCTGAGAAAATTCAGTCCACAACGCATGAGTATGTAGACATCAGAAACTAAGTACAGCAGCCAGGGAGAGACAGAGATGCATCTGCCAGTCTGCTTGCTTCTGAATTTCTTAAAAATGTATGGCTATCCTTGGCTGTATTATATAATTCCAATATAAACACAAACTGTTGTCTTCCTTTTTGGATTTTTATTTAATTGCCCCGCATTTTTCTCCCATTTCTCTCCTGTGTGCAAAGCATTTGACACTGACCCACATGACATCCTTGTCTCTAAATTGGAGAGACATCAATTTGATAGGTGGACCACTCAGTGGACAAAGAACTGGCTGGATGGCCACACACACAGAGTTGTGGTCAATGGCTCAATGTCCAGCTGGAGACCAGTGACAAGTTGCGTCCCTCAGGAATTGGTGTTGGGACCGGTCTTGTTCAACATCTTTGTCGCTGACATGGACAGTGGGATTGAGTGCGCCCTCAGCAAGTTTGCCGATGACACCAAGCTGTGTGGTTCGGTTGATACGCTGGAGGGAAGGAATGCCATCCAGAGGGACCTTGACATGCTTGTGAGGTGGGCTGATGCCAACTTCATGAAGTTTAACCATGACAAGTGCAAGGTCCTACACCTGGGTCAGAGCAATCCCAGGCACAGCTACAGGTTGGGCAGAGAAGAGATTCAGAGCAGCCCTGCGGAGAAGGACTTGGGGGTGTTGGCTGATGAGAAATTTCACATGAGCCAGCTTCAGTGTGCACTCACAGCCCAGAAAGCCAACTGTGTGCTGGGCTGCATCAAAAGTAACGTGACCAGCAGGTCGAAGGAGGTGATCCTGCCCCTCTGCTCTTGTGAGACCTCACGAGAAGAGAGTAGAATTTGGAGCACTGTGTGCAGTTCTGGTGTCCTCAACATAAAAAGGTCATGCTGCATGAAGAAGGCTGCATGGAGACCTCATAGCAGCCTTCCAGTATCTGAAGGGGGCCTATAAGGATGCTGGGGAGGAACTCTTCATTACAGACTGAAGTGATAGGACAAGGGGTAATGGGTTAAAACTTAAAACACAGGAACTTTACATTGGATATAAGGAAGAAGTTCTTTACTGTAAGGGTGGTGAGGCACCGGAATGAGCTGCCAAGGGAAGCTGTGAATGCTCCAACCCTGGTGGTGTTCAAGGCCAGGCTGGACAGAGCCTTGCGTGACATGATTTAGTGTGAGGTGCCCCTGCCCATGACAGGGGTGTTGGAATTAGATGATCTTAAGGTCCTTTCCAACCCTAACTATTCTATGATTCTATGATTTAATGTAAGCCAACTAATTTCCAGGAGAGAGCACATCCAATACACCGGAACAGACCCAGGCTTATAGTTCATATCTTAGTAATTCTTGTTGTAGTGTACTATGTTAATCCTTCATAAAGTTACAAAAAATGAAAATAATATCCAGTTTAAAATACAAACACGTATCTATTTACTAGTAAAGTAACAGCAGCAAACAAGGACTGAACTATGTATTTTTTAGGTGCTATGTGCAGATCTTGCAACAAATTTTTGAGAAAAATCAATGGACATCAAACTTACTTGTATTGATAAGAAACTGGTTTGAAACCCCGGGATGATCTACATCATGTATCGCACTCGCAAAAATGGCTGCAAGAATCTCCAAATCAGTGAACACTGCCTAGAAAATCATGAAACATAAATGGCAATCACTAATCAATGAAAAAAGTGCTTTCAATCTGTACTATAGATCCCTATATTGAGGGAATCCCATTTTAACACTATCTTTCATGAGAAATCTACTAACTGTGGTTAGTGAGAATCCCCCGTGGGAAATAATGACAGAACAGGATGTAAATATCTTTAAGAGAACAGAATTCATGACAAAGTGTTAAGATTTAAAAAAAAAAAAAATATTGCAGAAACTAAGATCTATAATATTTAGTTTAGAAGAGTCTCAGTATGTCCCTTTTTCTCATGCCTGCATCTTTCCCACTTTTACCTCTAATGCTGGTGTTGACAGCAGGACATGGGTTGACTGAACAACATCTGCAGCATGTATGTTGTTGTGATATGCCACATCTGAATGGTAATGGTCTTCCAGGGTCATTAAGTAAGTTATTAATGTGTCCACTGGAATCTTAAATGTTTTTAGCAAGTCCCGTTCCTAGAAAAAGAGAGACAATTAAGATTTCAAAGAACAGGAAAATCACTGAGATAAGCAAAAAGCAGCACATCTGCTACTTGCCTGAAAAATGGTATGCATGATGACTGTCAAAGGTCTGTTTCCAGATAACTCAGCTACTCTGAAAACCTGGAGGCCCCATTTATTCACATCTTCTAGTTCCTAAGGCAGAATCAAGCAACAAACACGTTGAAACGTAACACAGATTCGAATGATTTTTGATTGAAGCAGCTACAAACAGCAGACCCATCAATATTCAGACCTTGTTACTGTGGAAGTCATATGCTAAAGCTTGGATAGGAGGAAAAGCTGATGCTACTAATTTTGTAATACTGGAACCCACAGCTACTAACTTTTCAGCTTTTAATTCACAGGCAAGACTGACTCGTAAGTGGATTGTATCAGGAGTTAAAACACCACACTATCTTGAGTGAGCTGAACTGACACACTTTGCTATCTCACTGCCCAGTGACAACAGAGTTCAGAGAGGAAGATGCGGTTCTGCTGCTGCCTCCCTGGTTCTCAGAAACACCCTTCAAATAAAGGTGAGATTCCTGAAAATACAGGGATAGGCATATTCCAAAATGTTCTAAAATTAAATGAATAATCACTTTATGCCAGTTTTAGATTACTGCCAACTACTTAGCTGCTGGTGCAAAAGTCACAGGGAATGTCACTAAAAATAAAATCAATAAAAACCAAATGAACAGAAAAATACAGCTAAAGAATGAACAATAAAAACCAAATGAACAGAAAAATACAGCTAAAGACCAGACCTTTAAGAATAGCTTTAATTCTATACACCAGTTGTGCCTTTTCAAAAAACATGGGCCTACCATGTATTTTCATTCCTGTAACAGTACATGGTGGTTTTACTCTTCATTCTTCAGATATTATTATGAATAAGCAGCTTTAATAATGCATACACAAATGCTAACTTACATTCCAGATGTAATTCTGTTCATGTGGAAACTAACCTTTATGGCCTAATTCTGATTTTACTTATTATTATTATACTTCACCCAATTTATATTACTTAAAGTAAGACCTTTGGTGCTACAGGTAGAAATCAATGGTTATAAGCAGAGGATAGAATAATACTGACAAGTTCACCCTCCATTTTAATTCAGCCATTTAAATTCAAGGTTTTATATATTCTCTACCTTGGCAAGACTCTCTTCATGATCTGTTTTAACTCCAAATCGGGGAATACTAGAATTAGTTAGGCTGGTGCTGTGCATGAGCTTTTTGACTCCACTGATCTGGGACATCGGCCTCTTCTTTTTCTCTTTCTCCTTCTGTGCCGGAGATGGGATTTCAACTTCATGTTGTTTGTCTTAAAGAATGACAAATAATAATATTTAAAGTATTAAGTACAAATATGTCTGAATTCACCACTGAGTTGTATCTTACGGATATTTTAATTCTTACGAAAACTTTTTTTATGTTTGGAGATTTTGCAACAGGTATTTCACATCAAGAGCAGTAAAACCATGAACAGATAAACAAGACCTATACCTCAGTAAAAGCAGATCTCAATTTCATTAATTGCTTCATTATTTCTGAACTGGCTTTAAATTGGCTGATTTCCACTTCTCCTGTATCCCCCCTAGCACTGTAGGGAGGGTCAAACTTTTCATGATAAAAATGTTACTGCAACTAAACAGAAATCTAAGTACCCGTTTTGCAAGGAGATTCAAAATGTTTTCTTTTCCAGGAAAAATATTCTCTGCAGACCCATTTCAAAACCAATGAAAACAGTATTTCATGTAAACCTTTAGAAAACTTCTTCAGGACTCAAAGGACCCAATATTTGGGGACTGGTCCTGATTGTGCTAAGACTATACAGCTTGGAAAGCCTTTTGCCAGCCACATGTACAAGCACTCTGCATGCAGATGCAGTTTGCGCCAGCAGCACAGTGCATTTCTTCACCTCCCAGCCAGAGTAAGTAATAACAACAAAAGGACTGCTTCCCTAAAACCCAGTGCAATTGCTGTGAGCTTTTGCTTCCATAGCAGTGTCAGCAGCACCACTCCATACACCTCATCAATGTACGTGCCAGCAAAACTTTAGACAAGGATTAAACTGAGAATACATTTAGAATGTTTAGGGAATTGCCTGCTGTTTGCTGCAGAAACAGTACAGGGGTACAGACCACTGCAGATATCTGTAGTCCCCAAAGAAACCCAGGAGAGTGCAACAAAGGACTCTCCTGCCAAACCTCCTAGGAATTTGCATTAATTTTGATTCTTATTCATACTACATTTCAACATAAAAGTTTTAATGACTCCCTCCAAATGATCTCTTCTTTGCTGAAATGCATCAGCATCTTTTCTGGTCCTCAGGAAATAGTCTAGAAAAAAAACAGGAAAATCCAGAAAAGATGTTTCTAATGTAGAAGCCAAGAAAAAACTAAGACTTAAAAAAAATACCTTAGACCAAAAGGAGTACATCTTAAATTAAAAAAAAAAAAATTGGTGTCTTTAAAACATGTCTATTTTTTCCTCCTGCAAATACTAATTTTTAATAAAGACACTGAAACCAGACAAAGGTAGCAAGTCCATCCCTAATTACCAGACTGCTATTGTGTTTGCTTCTTCACGTTTTCTTTTTTTCCACCTTTATTTTTTTTTTTTAAATTACCCTTCAGCAGTCTCATTTACTGGGCACTCCAATCCCAAAGAAATCACAGTGAACAAGAGACTGCGGAAATGTCATCAAGCTTTAGCCTGCAGCACTAAGTTTCCTGATTGCCCCCACCAAGCTCTCCTCATACAGACAATCAAGAAAAGGGGGAGGCGGAGTGCTGCAGCTCTTGGCTGGTGCAAACGGCCAGCAGATGAGGATCAGTGACTCGTGTTCATGCTTTGATGTTTATGGTTTCAGTCATATTCACAAAGTTTAGGCCCATCAAAGGGAGGTTCATAAGCTGAGCTGTCAGACCAACTCAAGTGAAAGGAAGTGTCTGTCTGAATGACTTTAGATCTCCAGAGGAATTCCATGGGACTGCCTCTGCTTTTGTAACTATGAGCACAGAGGGGAAAGGATTGTTCACCCGTCTGAACATCTGGGAAAGACAGCTTGCCATTTTGACCCCAGTTGCGCTATGCTCATTGGAAGGTTCTCTTACATTTGCCATTCATAGGAAAACAGATTAATTACCTGAAAAAAAAACTTTTATATTATTATAGTCAGTGTAGGATCCTTAGTTCTTACACAAGGAATATATTTGTTGTCATTATTAATAACTTCATACATGTCATATAGCCCCCTACTTGGGAAAACAGTTGGGTTGTGGGGTTTTTTTGAAGAACAGAAAAACCTGTTTTCTCATAATATGTTACTAACTTCCAAATATTAGCAAGTCTGTAGATGTTCAGGAGATAAATTATGTATTTAAAAAAACAGCTAACTTGACTCTACAGTTTTCTATGGAAAGAATGTTTTCCCTCTTCACATTGTGGCTCAGAACTTACGTACTTTGCATATATTGAAAATACTCTATTTAAACAATAACTCTGTAGATGAGGTGTTTTTCCACATTGTATTCCTCTTGTACCTACCATTCTAAGTATCCTAGTTTTTTCACATAGCCTCAAAACAGTACCCATAGCTCAGTAACTTAGAAGTGACTGCCTTCCGGGCCTTTTTCTGCTCAAGGCTGATGTCTCATGTGAAAGGCTGACAGATGCATTTCATTACCATGTCAAAATAAGCCTTAAGCTTTCAAGCAAAGGCAAGCAGAAACTGGTATCTCAGGCTTTCCAGCTTAAGTGTGTCATCTTCTAAGGCAGCTGTACACTGTGACTTTCAGGATTCCTGAAAGTGAGCAATAGTGGTTCTCCATGATGGAGGCTAACCCCTTCCTTATTGTCTGAAACCCTGCTGTGCCACAGTGCTCAGGCATGCTACTGCAGTCATGGGTAAATTCAACAGACACAGTAAGTGATCCATTTAGGATACAGTAACAAGCAGGGGGTAAAATGTAGTTTAAAATAACTTCTTATTAAGAGAAAAAAAACGCAAAAATAAGGAGATAAATAAACATGATGTATCTTAACATGTATGACTGGCACTTTTTAAAGTACTTGTTATCCTAATTTAGATGTACTTTTTAAATGCTCATGAGCCACACAGATTCTCCTGGCAGCAGTCTGTTCAGATGTTGACTTAGTCATATTTATCTACCTGTTTATGGGCAAGCATGGAACACCAAAGCATCAGAACTGAGTGCTACAAGATTTTATGAGGTTACTTGTGCTTGTGTGCTTCCAGCACACTGAAACCTCTTTGCAGTAACTTCCATAAGGGAAACAGAGTGGAAGAATTCTTTTAAATATACAATTAAATCATTATAAATTCATTTCTTAATGCAGTAGCAATATAGTAGCTGTAAAATGAAAATACGTATCTGAATATTTATCTAATTACACACACAGAGAAACCACATATACAAACTAATTGAGCTGTAGGGAAATGGATCTAATATGATCTTTCTGCTCAAACACTGAACAATGAAACACACAGTCTCTGAAAAGAGAAATTAATATGGAAAGCTACTTGCTTTTAAGCTCTACCCCAGCCCAGATATTTAAACAAAAAAAGAAAAAAAAAGAAAAAGGGACAAAATATTAACTTCCCTTATAGTCTTACCTAAGAAAGTGTTTGATATATATTCTGAGACCTGGTTGCCTGATCTGCTCATTTCAGATAGGTGGGTTAGCTCCCGGTTCAGCATTCTCTTGAACTGGAAAACAAAACATAGCAAAAAAGCATGAAGTTAGTGATCAAGATGCATTTCAGTCAGGATGGAAAAACACAGTCAATTTGTAATTGGGGAAACGACATGACATGAAGAATACATTCTACATGAAGAGAACTATGAAAGCAGAAAAATAACATGCAGAATTGTTCTACCCTACTAATTATTCAGGAGTGGGACAACATAATTTTATACCTCCTAAAATACTCTACAGTGATTCAATTAGGCACAGGATCCTTCTAGTAACTGAAAACTATAAGACATATGTATACACAAATAATTAACTTTACTGTCTCACAAGTTTCTTATTTTAATTTGGAGAGAAAATACAAACATACTTACATAGGACCATTTCTTTACTATCATTTTCTTATTGTATTTGTAAATTAATTTATTTGTGCATTTTTTTGCTACTCATTTTGTAATTTTTTCAAGTTTGTTTTATCTCTCATCATTAACCTATTCAAATATATTTGACAGCACTGCTCAAAACAATCAAAATATCTTACCGATTACCTACATATCAATATGAATAGAGGTAGGTTTTGTTGCATCTGACTTAAAATTATTACACTGGATCAGCTCAACAACTTGAGCATTGCACAATCTCAGAAAATTGTGAGTATTTTTATGAGGCACTGAAGTATAAAACACCCATCTATGGAAACACCATCCCTTCTAAGTCTGCAGTTCACTCTAGGCACTCTATAGGATAGAAGTGGACATGAAGGTTCGCTGAAACATGTAACTGGATTAGGTACTCATTACTGAGCCTTTCTTGATTCCTCCTAGATTTCAGAGTTAAAGAATATTTTGTGGCATCATGTTAGACAGGTTAATTGCATAATACAGTTCTAGTTATCTTACATGCATTTTCATTTACTATAGCTTCACCTTGGTTATTAATAAATAGAACTCAGCCCTACTTACTAACTTTCAAACAACTACTGCCAGTATAAAGAGTATCCATCACTACTGAATTTCACCTCCCATTATGCTATTCTTTCATTTTATTATTAACAGTTCTGTCACCTTTTTTTCTCTTAACAAAGCCAAATGATTTGTGCTATTTTCAGAGTCATCTTTCACCTTGTTCACCCAGTTATGACTATTCATTACATCAAGCAATAGCTATGCTTAGTATATACCCCTGTAAAAATTCCTCTATGTTGAAAACTGGTAATTTATTCTTCTTCAAAGGAGATAAAGCAGTAGACTAAACATTAACCACCCCCTTTCCATCCCACTGGAATCATCAAAGCCCTTTCTTCAAAGAGGTCTTGCATAGTGAAAGGTGTTATTTTCTTCACAATGTCTTTGTAAGTCACCAATTACCGTATTGCTCACAGTGTGCCAAATAAAAAATACCTTTAATATAACACTCTAACCATTATCCACTGCGTTTTCCTGCCATCTTGACACGCCATCAGCTCAGGAAGCTCCTGAGCTACAAAGACTGAATCCTACTTTAGTCACAAGCCAAAGGCTCAGCTTTGATCTTGGATATAACTGTGCTAGCAAGTGCTCAACACATTTCTGAAAATTAGAACCATACCGCAAATACAGCTACACATACTATGAACTATAGGGCTATACATTCCGCATGAAACCAGCATTAACCTATATACTGAGACCTAATGTTTGTCACCAATGTCAAATGTTAAAAAAAGTCAAGCTTGCCAAACAGTAAAGTGACTGGTCCAAAAATCGTATTTTTAAAAGCCCATCTTTAAACTTTTAACACATACTTAAGTCACTCTTGCATGCTTTTTCTCCTGATCCACAATGGTGAGAAACTGAATTATTTAAGGCAAAAACTGAAGATCTCACAGAATGACTCGTCTCCAGATGGTATGCAGAAGTGTCAGCTTTAAATTAAATATTGTGCATACAAATCTTAATATAATGTAAGAAGTTGATGAAATTGCATTAACTTCCACACGTCATCAGTATATCCATTACCACTCCAATGTTCTCTCTTTCTTAATTTCATACAGCTAGTTCACTGGATACCAACTGAGCAGTCTTGTCTGGCTGTTTCCTAGTAAGCCATTTTAGATGATGCCCAACTTTGCCATGCTGGTTTTGCTGCACAGCAACACCCCTGGGTCATGTACCAGACTTTGGAAAAAGACCATCTAGCCACCAGTGATATGTACTCTTCAGGAAATATCCTTACAAGTTTACAAACTTTGAAAGGAGAACAAATTCATGTTTGTTTGCAGCTACTCAACACAACAAACAGGAAGGATTTTTTTTCTTTTTTCCCCTCTTCCAAATCACAAATTTCACTGCAGGGACAAAGCAGGTTTGTTATTGCATACTGGGAATCATCTCTGGGAATCATCTTATGAACTTCTTGAATTCTTCAAGATTTTCCAACTAAGTACGTATTTTACGGATGTCCACAACAAGTGGAAGATGCACGTCAGTTTCTTGTAACGCTATGATCCCCACTAGTCTGATGCAAACCCTTGACTTTCCATCTCCCATCACTCCTTAAGTCACCAGAACAGAAAAGCTCAACCATCATTACAAAACATGCAGAACAGTCTGTGCTGTTGATGAATATGGGTGCAGAGCGGAACAAGTCCTCCAGCTTTTGCAAGGCCTTCCTGCTAACAGCAAATTCAACAGAAGTCTTTGCCTTCAAAGAAATACAGCAGCATGATTTCCTCACCCTCTTGCACATGTTGCTGATGCCACAGCACCAAGACTTTGACATTTATTTTGAAAGAAAATCTGGACTAAGCAGGAGTTTAGAGAATTTTAATTTTCTAATTATCTGACAAAGCCTTACTACTCTCATACACACTGAAACAGAGGAAGTTGAAGACCAGACAGCAGTTCCTGATGCAGAACACTGATGCTCTTTGAGAACACAAAAAAACACCCAAAAGACATAAACAGTGATCAAGATATTGAGACATTTTTATTGATTATACCCTACTTCAGTGTATGTGTATGTTACTTAACCATCTGATGTTTAATAATTTGGCCTTTGGGGGAAAAAAGTATCTTTTTTGCTAAGAACCTCCCCCCAAAAATAAAACAACCAAAAAACAAAATCAATACCAAAAAACACAATAGAACCAAACCTGAAGCCCTACTTCTTCTTGATTTATTTCTCAAAAACTTCATTTGGGCTCAAGTGCACCTACATATAGTTTCTGCTTCAAAGAGTGTCAACTCTTCACAACTACTTTGTAATGAAATTCTGCCTGTCACATGGGTCTCACAAGACCTTGCAGCAAATCACAGAGAAACTTGTTACATCTGTGAATCAACCTTGCTTCAGTTATCCAGCAAGCACCTTTTAAGTTCTTAAATTTGGCACTTAAATACTTATAATACTGATAATTACTCTTATTATTTATCCTCTCTTTGCACTTTATTCAAAACATATCAAAGAAGACATGAAACCACCTTCTTGCTAACTGTAAATGTAAAGATGGTATTTTAAAAAAGAACTAAAATAAACCACCCCAAAACCCAAACAAAACAAAAAAAAAACCCAAAACTAATCACAATACATGAAAATTCTTGATAATAATAAGATTTATACCATACACACTTTATTTATTGATATCGGCAGCTCAGCATGGGGAGGAAGCAGGTATTTTTGGTGGATCTGTGCATATACTGTATTCTTCCTCAGAAAGAAATATGTTCCCACATTAAGACTAGGCATTGTTAGATTGAAAATGACATATATATCCCTTTGGAATATCACAGTCCTTGACTACAGTCTAGGAAATCCCCCCCCTGGAATTTAAGAGGCTATAAAATGTCCATTAAAGCAATCACACAGCTCTTCGCTGATGAATACTGATGTCACAGCAACACAGCAGCAAAGTATTGTCTAAAAAAGAATCCTAAAAACATTTCCTTAAGCACAATTTTTTTATTCAGTTTGACTCCATCTGGAGTCAATTCATGGCCATGAAAAAGCTTGGACTACATGCTTAATATAAATGAGGTTTACTGATTACACTGTACACACAAAAAAAAAAGTAGAATGTTCTTAAGTTTTTGACTCAGTAACAAGAAGCAGAAGTAAATATGCAGCCCGCAGTTGTGTTGTGAGACAAAGCATGCAGAACCATTTTGGCATGGATGCCCCACCCTGGCAGGGCCTCTTCCACCTAGGCTGCCTGTTCCTGAATGTCTGATGTGCTTCATTCCAAAGACACTCCCACTACAACCTTTGGCACCAGCACAGAAGGTGAAGCTAAGGCTAAAAGATACACCATGGACCAAAAGGCCCCATCTGGTCTGTCCTTCAGTCTGGGTATTGATCAAGCTCCAAGGCCATGCAGGCTGGAACCACAATGGTCAAGAGCATCTGAGCCTTTCATTGTACCAGCTCCCAAACTCACATGGTGATAAAATTCCAGTTTCTGGCTGCCTCTTCTAGGTAACATTTCTAAAAGCTTACATAAATAGAAAACATCCATGGAACATTCATTCAACACCTGGAACATTAAACTTACATGACTGTATTTTGTCATTGCTATATACCTATCAATGTGATTTGAAAAAGATGTTTTGTAACTCAAAAAACAAATAAACTATTATTTTACTGGATGTGAAAAGTTTTGTATTCTACAAAACCAAGAAACTTAAAATAGGACAGCCTTACAAATGAATGTAAGGCTTCTGTCTATATTGCTTATCAATGCAAAGCTTTTTTATTTTAGCATCATTCCTGCTATATAAACAGCAGTCTTGACTGAAGATCTGAGTTGGAAGCTTATATATTTAATTAATATCAAGCTCATGCACTAGTTTTTATACATAAGCCATTGCAAGGTACATTATCTCTAAGCTTTGCATTGTGATAGTGGTGCTTCAAGGAAAGTTAGTGAAAGACAGGGATAAATGTTCCATATGACAACCATTCTCCAAGACATAATTAGACTAAGAGCAAATAAAGTACAGCCTGTATCATACAGAAATATATGTATGGTAAGGGATGTAAACAT